GAGAGAGAGAGAGAGAGAGAGAGAGAGAGAGAGAGAGAGAGAGAGAGAGAGAAAGCTTGGTGACATTTGGACCCAGACTCGACATGGGCTTCAGACATTTTGACGAGGGATTATTTGGGACTTGTAACGAGACTTGGTGTTGACGACTTTCCCATCTCCTCCCTCCTCTTCATCTGATCCCCTCCTCTTCGTCTGTGCATGTCTGGACCTGGCGCCTTCTTCCTGTGTATAGCGCCAGGCCCCTTCACACCTTGTGGTGAGAACGATGTATGTTTAGTCTGCATGGCGGCATTGATTGGGGTCGTCATTAGTATTCTAGCATTCTGCTCCGCTATCTTGTACTACGTGAAAGAGGTCAGTTCCGGTCAGGTCAGGACTTGTATCTAAATCTTCCACTGCACTATAAAACACCATTGTTGTATGTATCAGGATGTACACTGCTGGTTGAGATTTCACTAGCACTGCATTGTCCATTCAGTCCTTTTCATCACATTGCGGATCCTCGGTTATACATGTACATCGCCCGACTGGGCATGTAACAGTTGGTATCGGAACACCGCACGTGAATCAGGACAACCTGATCTGACACGTGTGCGGGGACTTGGTAGCTGATTAGTTTTGATTGGTTGATTAGAGCACACTAGTTAGCCCCCAAAATCACGATTTTGACCCCACTGCCGAAAATCATTTTTTTTTTTTTTTCGTGGATTTTGTTTTCTCGCTATTTCTGTTGTGGAAAATCGCAATAGCCCAACATCTGAAGTTTCCGATTTCGTTTTTCTTCTGAAAATTCGAAATTTCGTTGTTGAAAATCTGGAATATCTTTTTTCGAAAATTTCGATTTCCTTTTGCAATTTCTAGTTATTTGGAAATCCGGAATATTTTTTTCCGAAATCCGTTTTTTTGAAAACGGTACGAGAATCCCTCTTGCAGTTATCATTCTCCAACTGCGCGTACCCTCATCTGAGTAATTCCAAAAAAAAAAAAAAATTGTACTTCATTTTCGGAATTCTTTAATCAGAAAATCATTTGCGGTCTGAAAGTTCGAAAATTTTTCTCATTGATAATTTCGCACTTCAGGGGAATTGGGAGACCTACTGAACTTGCAAACGGGTATTTTTTTCTCATTCTCAAATTTTTTGCAAAGTTCGAACTTTTCTTTTTTTGATTAGTGGCTCCTTATCTGGGCGATTTATCCCACCCCTCCCCACCTATGTTGTTGCCCCCTCTGTCTTCTCTATCTGCCTCCGGGTACCCCCTGCGGCGGCATTGGTGAGTTGCCACGTCAGCAGGACACGGCAGCAGTGCCACGTCAGCAACCAGTCACCGCAGCAGCAGGTCACGTCAGTGCATGGTGCTCACCCCCTCAAAGACAAGCGGCATGGATTAGCAGCCAGGCGAGACTACCGAGGCCTATGAGACCCGCATGCTGGACATGGTAGCAGAGTTCAAGCAATGGGCAGCTGCGGCAACATTCTCACGTAAGAAGGAAGATGAGGACGCAGAGGAACAGCGTCGCCTCGCGGAACAGAAGCGACAGGAGGACGCTGAGGCAGCAAGGAAGGCCGCAGACGAACGCCGTCGACTACGCTGTTGCAGAACGCCGTTGCGACAGGAGGACGCTGAGGCAAACACTTCTTCATCAGGAGGAGCTGTCCGTCGTTGCAGAACGCCTTAATGCAGTTGTGGAGACGCTCACCACAAGTGAGCAACTTTTTGATAAAGCCTCGCGGATCGTCGTGACGAACATCGAAGCCAAGAATTTGGGCCATTTGTTTGCTGCGGGCCAGGGCAGAGGTCAGCATCGGCTGAAACTGGCTGTGGTCGCAGCAACTACAGCGACCGATCTATGTGACCGTTCGAACACACTGAACGTGCATTCGCCTTCGAACGCAAGCGTTCAAACGGTCGGGGGCTGCGTTCAAACGCGTTCAAATGCGCTACGCGCCACATGGTGCGAGTTTTTTGAACGCAACCCCCCCCATCCGCATGCGAGCATGACAGACTACAGGTGGGGGATTTGTTTCTTCAAAAAAAAAAAAAAAAAAAAGTGTGGCAGTGTACATAGATTCATTCGATTTTGCTAAGAAAATGGATGGAAGTACCATGAGGTTGGCAGCGTGGTTCGAGACTCTGCTCTCTCTCTCTCTCTCTCTCTCACACACACAC